GCTCGACGAGCGCAAATAATCAATCAAAACCTGTCTGTCCCATTTGCTTGGACACGTTTACCGAGCCAGTCATAACTGAGTGTGGTCATTCATTTTGTCGCCAATGTATCACTGGTTGGTTCAATGAGTCGCATGGTATGAACACCGAATGTCCAAAATGCCGCAAAATGTTACTTGGTAGAAAGTTGATTAGAAACTTTGATTTAGAAAATATTTAAAAATTTTAAAATCTACAGTCACACTTAATATTTAAATACTTAAGTTTTAAGTATTATACAATAATAAAATTCATTAAAAATTGCAAAGTATTCTGAACAAGCTATTAAATTTTGTTTGTTTTTAAAAAGGCATAGATAACTTTATATTATGTAATTTACAAAAAAATATATGCTAATTTTTAACTGCATAAAATTTAAAAACTTTTTCATTTAATGTTTAAAAAATAATTGTATATTTAATATATTTGCTTTTAAAGTAAAATAAAAATTACATTTATAGTATAATAACTAATATTTATTTAAAACAAACAGAATAACTATAAATATTTATAATAATAATCAAATAATCAAAACAGTAACTTAAATACTAAAATAAAATTAATTAAAAAACTTTTTTAAACATCAAATTATCGCTAAACTCAAAAACTGTAAACAATTTATGTATGAGACATGACTCCCTCTATACCTAAACATTACAGTCACACGCGAGCTATCATTGCATTCATCGTACAGTTTGTAAACATTGCTATCAATGCACAGACGGACAGTGTGTTTCAAACAGTGATAATCAGAAACTCAAAACAAAACCGTATTTTTTTATTACACTTACTAAACATACCAACAATAATATGTAATTAACGATAACTGAACAGGTAAGTCATAATAATATACTGACCATATTGTTAAAATAATTCACATAGCTCACTCTCAATTTCTATTCAGCTGTTGTCAAGGTCTAAATAATATGCATAACTCATGTTAACACGCATAGCAACTCCACTAATAAAAAACCACACTAATTATCGTGTGTGGCTATAAAGTAGCCCTGCTACTATTAAATAATGTCGAAAGTAAACACGGCCAAAATCGCCAACCTGTCCATGGTCAAACAGGTGGAGTGCGCCGTATGTATGGACGTATACACCGACCCCGTGGTGACGGAGTGCGGGCATACCTTTTGCCGCCACTGTATTAGCCTATGTATGGACTCTAACCCCGTGTGCCCGCAGTGTCGCAAAGATTTCATTACTCGGAAACTGACCGTTAATTTCAGTATTAAGTCGATCATTGAGACGGGTCTCGAGTTTAGGTGCGATTATGACTGGAATGGGTGTAAGGAGTTGCTGTCTCTGGATCAGCTACCCGGCCATCATAGGGAGTGTAGGTTTAGGTACTGCGGTAAGTGTAGGGCTAATGTGAGCCGTACTGGCCGTGACCATAAGTGTAAGGGTCTGTCGAAACCGGCGGTGAATACTAAGTATGTGTTGAGAAATAGTAGTGTTTTTTAAATTGTAAATTATTTTTTTGTTTTTGACTAAATGTAGTGTCAATTCAGTCAATACTGACCAGGATCATAAGGGTGAGGGTCAGTCGACAGTGGTGGGCAACCATAGCAAGTAAGCTTTGTTTAGTAATTATTTGCATGATTTTGTAATTTAATATTTACTATTAGTATATTAAATACAATAGTAATTTTATACTAACTAACAATTATCTGATAAATAATTAACGATAAGTTTATATTAGCTAATTAGCTAGTTAATTAGTTAGCTAGTTAAATTCTTATTTAAAAACTTATTTGTTATTACTGTTACATTAATTAAATTATTATAGATTTTTAACTAAACATTTATATATGTTTAGATCAGAGACTACTGGCGCTCGTAAGCACATACCACGACGGTGTCGCTACTGGCCTACTTGTCGCAAGGGTGACCAGTGTAACTTTCATCACCCGGATCAGTGTTGTTTCCAATACGCCAAATCCGGAAGCTGTCGTTTCGTTTATAATTAATTAGTTATAATTAATTATAAGCACATGCAAATATAATTTTTGCGAATATTTGCGAAACACTTATGAAATTAATGCCACAATCACTCATCATTTTAATCATATAAACAAAATAACTTTAATTGTTAGATAACAATTAAAAATACTACTAGTATTGTACATATGAACTAATTTTTTATTTTTAAAAATGTACTATGAAACATGTAGAGGTACAATACACATTTCATTCAAAAATATATTAAATACTAAGGTTGTTCACACTAGAAATTATATACATTTTATTTAATTGTTATGTTTTAAATATTAAATATTGATAAATTAATTTTGTATATTATAACTTATGAACACTAGTTACCATATAACTTATAATTGTATTTATCACATTTAATGCTTTTTAATTAACAAATTAGTAATTAACAAATATGTAATTTATTGGCTCATATTGAGTTTGTGTGCTTAACATTTAGTAAGATTAACACTTACTTGTTAATAATGTTGAAGTAGGTAGGATAGGGAGTTGATAAAAATAAAACTTTATTACATTTGGTGCATAAATGTGGTTAAAATTTTAAAAAAATTAAAACTAGCTCATTTATAAAGAAGTTTTTAAAAATATATTTATTTACAATCAGATAAATTGTGTTTTTTTTATAAATTAGTACAATTGTCTTGACTAATGAGATTGTCATTTTGAATTTTTTATAATGTAAGCATGTTTTTTATAATAATAGGTATAAAATTTTTAAATAATATTTCAGTTTTTCAATACAAGATATTTATCAAGCAAAACAAAAAATTCTTGCATTTAACTTAAATAATTAATTATATTAATTTTATACCAAATATAAAATTTCAATTTTGTGAATTTATTTTCTATAAGATTGTAGTGAATCAGTTAACATTAGCTAGATCTATTTAAGATTGTTACGTTGTCGCGTTTAAAAATTAAAATTAAATTAAATTAATTATAAATATCTGGTAATAAAGTCATTTAAAACAAAGACAATAGTTTTAATTTTTAAATACAGTTATCTCTAAGATATGTCTCCCTCTATCACAATATAATTTAGTCAATAGGGAGTTGGCATTGAAAAACTTTGCATTGTTTTGTAAACATTACATTCAGTAATAGAAACAAGTTTGTTTTTACTAAATAATGAATCATTATTAATGATTAGATAAAACCATTTTTCTAAGTATCATATTTATTAAGATAATTATTTTGAATTATTCATAAACGTGTAAATAATTGCATTCAAATATCAATATAATTAAACATTTAAATAATACTTTTCATAAGTATACTGTATTGATAATATAAGTTAATAAATTTTTAAAATATAGTTAATTAAAGTAAACATGAATAACAAACCGGTAAGGTGCAAATTTTGGCCTAATTGCAACAATGGCCGACAATGCCCCTTTCACCGCCATAATTCACCATGCCCAAAATTTCCACATTGCATGTTTGGACACAAGTGCCTTTACATACACCCTGATTGCCGGTACGATGACCGGTGTAGAAAAGTTGACTGTCCATTCGCCCATACATTTAAACCGCCACCACCACAACCGGAACCGTTATATACACAACCGGAACAAGGTGCTACTAGTTCTAGTTATAATTTAATTAACCAGGATAACATACCTAATTGCGATGACTTGCAACTGGAATTTGCTATAAAATTAAGTCTCAGCGAGAGTCAAGGTGCCAGGCCAAAAGCTCAGGGTAACTTATTATATATATTTTTAAAATTATTTGATATGTTTTTTAATATTTACCAGGGTATTTTTAATATTTAATTGTTCATCAGAATAGACTGCTAAACCCCATGTCAAAGGAATTTAATCCTTACAGTTCACCAAGAAATAATAACCTATTTTGTGGTACTAGTATGTTAAGAGCACCTGGATCATCTCAAATAAATTGTCTAAATGATCACTCACTGGGAATACGTAAATTGATAGAAACAAACAGACCTAGAGTACCTGGACCAACTAAGGGTGACCCATTTTCTATACTCCTACCTATTCGGTATAGAGCACCTGGATCAACACGTGCGCCTAGATTTAAATCATGGTTAACTAGGGCACCTGGGTCACATGAAATGCCTAGATCTGCGTCTAAACAGCCAAGTGAACCTTCGCTAAGTGTGGCTAATGCTGAAATAAATGAACCAGGCCCGTCAGGCTCGACGAGCGCAAATAATCAATCAAAACCTGTCTGTCCCATTTGCTTGGACACGTTTACCGAGCCAGTCATAACTGAGTGTGGTCATTCATTTTGTCGCCAATGTATCACTGGTTGGTTCAATGAGTCGCATGGTATGAACACCGAATGTCCAAAATATCGCAAAAGGTTACTTGGTAAAAAGTTGATTAGAAACTTTGATTTAGAAAATATTTTTAAAAAAATTAAAATCTATAGTAACACTTAATATTTAAATACTTAAGTTTTAAGTATTATACAATAATAAAATTCATTTAAAAAATGCAAAGTATTCTGAACAAGCTATTAAATTTTGTTTGTTTTTATAAAGGCATAGATAACTTTATATTATGTAATTTACAAAAAAATATATGCTAATTTTTAATTGCATAAAATTTAAAAACTTTTTCATTTAATGTTTAAAAAATAATTGTATATTTAATATATTTGCTTTTAAAGTAAAATAAAAATTACATTTATAGTATAATAACTAATATTTATTTAAAACAAACAGAATAACTATCAATATTTTTAATAATAATCAAATAATTAAGACAGTAACTTAAATACTAAAATTAAATTAATTAAAAAACTTTTTTTAGGCATCAAACTATCGCTAAACTCAAAACTGTAAACAATTTATGTATGAGACATGACTCCCTCTATACCTAAACATTAAAGTCAAACGCGAGCTATCATTGCATTCATCGTACAGTTTGTAAACATTGCTATCAATGCACAGAAAGACAGTGTGTTATCAAACAGTGATAAACAGAAACTCATAACAAAACCGTATTTTTTATTACACTTCCTAAACATATCAACAATAATATGTAACTAACTATAACTGAACAAGGTAAGTCACAACAATATACTAACCATATTGATGAGATAATTCACATAGCTCACTTTCAATTTCTATTCAGCTGTTGTCAAGGTCTAAATAATATGCATAACTCGTATTAATAGCACGCATAGCAACACCACCAATAAAACTACGCTAATTATATGATATAATTTATATCGCGTGTGGCTATAAAGTAGCCCTGCTACTAATAAATAATGTCGAAAATAAACACGGCCAAAATCGCCAACCAGTCAATGGTCAAACAGGTGGAGTGCGCCGTATGTATGGACGTGTACACCGACCCCGTGGTGACGGAGTGCGGGCATACCTTTTGCCGCCACTGTATTAGCCTATGCATGGACTCCAACCCCGTGTGTCCGCAGTGTCGCAAAGATTTCATTACTAGGAAACTGACAGTTAATTTCAGTATTAAGTCGATCATTGAGACGGGTCTCGAGTTTAGGTGCGATTATGACTGGAATGGGTGTAAGGAGTTGCTGTCACTGGATCAGCTACCCGGCCATCATAGGAAGTGTAGGTTTAGGTACTGTGGGAGGTGTAGGGTTGATGTGAGCCGTACTGGTGGTGATCACAAGTGTAAGGATCTGTCGAAACCGGCGGTGAATACTAAGTATGTGTTGAGAAATAGTAGTGTTTTTTAAGTTGTAAATTAATTTTATGATTGTTTTTTGATTAAATGTAGTGTCAATGCAGTCAAGACTGACCAGGATCATAAGGGTGAGGGTCTGTCGACAGTGGTGGGCAAACATAACAGGTAAGTTTTGTTTAGTAATTATTTTCATGATTTTTAAAATTTAATATTTACTATTAATTTATTAAATACAATCGTAATTTTATACTAGCTAGCAATTATCTGATAAATAATTAACGATAAGTGTATATTAGTTAGCTAGTTAAATTCTTATTGAAAAACTTATTTGTTATTACTGTTACATTAATTAAATTATTATAGATTTCTAACTAAACATTTATATGTGTTTAGGTCAGAGACTACCGGCGCTCGTAAGCACATACCACGACGGTGTCGCTACTGGCCTACTTGTCGCAAGGGTGACCAGTGTAACTTTCATCACCCGGATCAGTGTTGTTTCCAATACGCCAAATCCGGAAGCTGTCGTTTCGTGGCGCTCGTAAGCACATACCACGACGGTGTCGCTACTGGCCTACTTGTCGCAAGGGTGACCAGTGTAACTTTCATCACCCGGATCAGTGTTGTTTCCAATACGCCAAATCCGGAAGCTGTCGTTTCGGGAAAGACTGCAAATATATTCATCCGATTTGTGAGGCGGGCCTTAAATGCAGTAAAAGGGGTTGTGTTTTGACTCACGCCGAGGGAACGGTAGCCCAAAAGATTGCTGAGGACATGGAGGTTCAGAAAGCAAAGCCTAAGCCTATTAATGAGCGCAAAGGCAATAGACGTCCAAACAATAGGATTCATACGAAAAGTACTGCAATTCAGCCCAAAGTATGTTATGTTTAAAATTTTTAAATTTTATAGATTACAGTTTGATTATTAAATTACGTAAACTATAGGGTATATAGTTTATTACTACTAGGCTTACTAATAGTATTTAATTTTTAATTATCATAACTTTTTTATCTATTTAGGTGGACACCACAGCTACTAGTAATGTAGTTACTGGACCTGGGTCAAGTGGTACGGCGAGTGCCAGTGTGACTCCCGGGCCAAGTGTAGCGCAAAGCAATTAATTATCATAACTTTTTTATCTATTTAGGTGGACACCACAGCTACTAGTAATGTAGTTACTGGACCTGGGTCAAGTGGTACGGCGAGTGCCAGTGTGACTCCCGGGCCAAGTGTAGCGCAAAGCAATGCCAATGATAACGATTCGGACGTTGAGTTGCAATTAGCGTTGGAAATGAGTTTACGGGACTCTCTCAGTGGGAACGGGAGGGTAAACCTCACTCAGCCGTCAGTTGGCGCACAATCAACGGCTCGTACTCGACCCGTTCCCGTCCCTCGGGCTAGTGATCCGGCTGTTTTTAAATGTGCCTACTCGCGGTACGGCTGTCCGAACACATTTATCGTTTCATTAGCGCGTGCTGACCACATGGAGATCTGCCAATACAACCCGGCTAACAAGCCACGAGTAGCGGGTACACCGCGGCTGAGCGCCCTACCCGTCCGGGACTCGAACCCACGTTCACCTATTGAGAGGGTTTTGTGTGAATACGCGTGGAATGGCTGTAATGAGCGGCTGTATAGGGATGAGATGACCCGGCATATGACCAGGTGCCTCTATAAGCCCCCCACATATGCAAATCATCCGATCCTGGGTAGAGTTCCCGTTAAGCCTAAGAAAACGGATAAAAATTGTGTTTTGAGTTAAATACGAAATATTATAAACTGTTTGAATTGAATATTGAATAGAAATTGTTCTGGATTACATGAACTATACTGACATTTCAACTAAATGTGATTTATAAATACAGTATTAATGCACAACTAAGTGTTTATACTACTTTTTCTAAACCAATGATTATTAATTTTGTATTATAATACTATAAGTGTATTGTGATAATTTACTAATTTGAAAATATAATTACTTTATTACTTTTCTATGAATAAAATCAAAAATAAAATTATATTTTAATAAAATACTCAATAAATATATCATTGTTTATAAATTATATGTTATATTCATTTTATTATTTAAAACTTTTGAAAACTTTCAGAGTTGACCTACCCCACCCCCACCCCCCCTAGGGCTGCCACCCGTCCTCCAATCGGCCCCTCAAAAAACAGTTTAAAACTTTTAAGCGCCACATAAATTATGTGACATAAGCAACAATGTTATGCAACATAACAGTAAATATTTTACTGTAAAATTATGTAATTTACATTACATGCACAGTTAAGCCATAATAATATACAGCACAATTTATATTTATTAAATAATTGAAACCTAATTATAATTGTATTATAATAATAATAATAATATGAACAGTTGTTTGATAAGCACAATTGTATGTTTATTATTGAGCATGTATGCAAAACTCGTTATAAATGGCGTATAGCAACAATAATAAAACAAAGTTACTATGCGATAAATAACCCCGATACAATAATAATAATAATGTCGAAAATAAACACGGCCAAAATCGCCAACCAAGCCATGGTCAAACAGGTTGAATGTCCTATATGTATGGACGTGTACAGGGAACCGGTAGTTACGGAGTGCGGGCATACCTTTTGCCGCCACTGTATTACCCAATGTATGGACTCTAACCCCGTGTGCCCGCAGTGTCGCAAAGATATCATTACTAGGAAACTGACCGTTAATTTCATTGTAAAGTCAATAATTGAGACAGGTCTCGAGTTTAAGTGCGATTACGACTGGAACGGTTGCCGGGAGTTATTGTCACTGGATCAGTTACCCCGCCATCAACGGGAATGTAGGTTTAAATACTGCAGTAAGTGTTGCACTAATATGAGTCGTACTGGCGGTCACCATAAGTGTGAGGGTCAGTGGCACCGGCCGTGAATACTAAGTTGGTGTCGTTATAAGTGCTACTATTATACGGTATAATAGGATTTTATACTTGTTGTATAATTATTATTATTATAACTAATTAACTTTTTAATTCTTATAGATCAGAGACTACCGGTGCTTCTAAACAAAAGCTGAGAAGGTGCGGATTTTAACCTACGTGTGTCAAGGGTGACCAGTGTACTTTTCATCACCCTAATAAAAGGTGTTTTGCATTCCCGAAGTGCCGTTTCGGTAGGGATTGCATATATATTCATCCCATTTGTGAGTCGGGAATAAAGTGCACAAAACTTTACTGTGTTTTGATTCACGCCGAGGGACCGGTAGCCGAAAAGATCGCTGAGGACTTGGAGGTCCATAAATCAAAGCCTATTAATACTGTATGTCTAAATAAATTTTATATTACCGGTACATGACACCTATCAGCATTCTGTCCGTCCAGTCAACAGCCCCTCCTGTTAACAACAGTGCCACAAATATATGCTGTATATACCGGTATAATATAATACTGTATTACTGTATAATATATTTTTAATGTTAGCTAATTTATGATTTCCATGCATACCAGGCCAACTGTGATTAATCGGCAATCGCTTATAGACTGAGCAAATATTGTTATTATTATAAAGGTTGCTTGGTGCAGTTTCGCGATGACAATTTGCGTTGACAACACCAATTAATTTGTGTCCACAATCCAGTTCATGTCCCCACAAAAGTCTAAGAAAAATGATTGTGTTTTGAGTTAAATACGAAATATTATAAACTGTTTGAATTGTATATTGAATACAAATGGAACTGGATTATGTGAACTATACTTACTTTACAATATGTGATTTATAAATACAGTATTAATGCACAACTAATTGTTTATTCAACATTTTCTAACCCAATGATTATTAATTAATTGCTATAAGCATATTGTGATGATTTACTAATTTGAAAATATAATTAATTTTCTATTTATCTATGAATAAAATCAAATAATTAAAATTAAATAAAAAATTTGTTCATAGATAAAAACACATACTCAATAAAAATATTATTGCTTATAAATTATAATATATTTTAAAATTTATTTTTTAATATACAATATATTTATTTAGATTTAACTAAATTAAAAATTTTATATTAATATCTGTAAATATTTTAAATTACCCTCTAAATAAAAATATATTAAAATAGTTTTCAGACACCTCACATTAAATGACATTTTACATTTTACTAGTTTAGACAACATATTTATTTTAATACTGCATTTTTAATACAAAAGTTTACAAACCACATGAGCAACATAATAGTAAAATTATTTAATTTACATTACATTCACATTCTTTAAGCCATAACAATACACAGTACAATTCGTATTGATTAAATCATTAACATAACTAACTATAATGGTATATGCAACAGTTGTTAATGTTTATTATTGACCATATACAAAACTGGTATATATTAAATCACGCATAGCAACATCAATAATAACACAAAGTTACTATGCAGTGATTAATTGATAATTAAATAACTCTGATTCAATAATAATGTCAAACATAAACACGGCCAAAATCGTCAACCAGGCCATGGTCAAACAGGTGGAGTGTCCCATATGTATGGACGTGTACACCGATCCAGTGGTGACGGAGTGCGGACATACCTTTTGCCGCCCCTGTATTAGCCTATGGATGAACTCTAAATCCTTGTGCCCGCAGTGTCGCAAAGCAATAACTAATAGGAAACTACCTGTTAATATCACTGTAAAGTCGATAATTGAGACAGGTCTCGAGTTTAGGTGCGACTATGACTGGAACGGGTGCGTGGAGTTGCTATCCTTGGAGCAGCTACCCGGCCATCACCGGAAATGTGGGTTTAAGTAGTACCGTAAGTGTGAAGCTAATGTTAGCCGTACTGCTGGTGAACACAAGTGTGAGGGTCAGTTGAAACCGGCGCTGACTATTAAGTAAGTGTACTGTAGTTAGAATTTAACATGTACTATGATTTTATGCTTGTTGTATAGCTATTTTTATTTATTTATTTAATTGTTATAGATCTGAGACTACCGGTGTTCCTAGGCCAAAATTGAAAAAGTGCCCATTTTGGCCTACGTGTGTCAAGAGTGATGAATGTACTTTTTACCACCCTAATATAAAATGCTTTGCATTCCCGAAGTGCCGTTTAGGTAAGGATTGCATATACATTCACCCCATTTGTGAGTCGGGCATAAAGTGCACAAAACAAGACTGTCTATTGACTCACGCCGAGGGACAGGTAGCTCTAAAGATCGCGAAAGACCTGGAGGTCTATAAATCAAAGTTTATTAATGAGCGCACAAACAATGGGATTCATATGAAAAGTACCGCAATTCAGCCAAAAGTATGTTATGTTTAAAAGTTTTAAAATTACATTTTATTTAACAAGTTACGCAAAGTATATTTAACATTTTATAATTTATTTTTAAAAGTGTACATAATCAGGAACAATTAGGAGTTTATTTTTTAAAAATTAGCAGTTTAGTTAAAACATGCTTATAATAAACATTAAAAATATTTATTAATCGTATTCATAGTGAACGTGTATTTATTGTATGAATGCAGTACTGATGGCAAGAGATTAAAGATACCCTAGGTCAGGGGATTACAAATATTACAAATATAAAGGGCACAGTATGTCTAACCAAAATAACAAATAAACTTAAATTGGATTGTTTGGATACATTTCATGATAGGCACCTAAAACAAACAATTTACTCACTCCAGTGTTTTATCCAATATTATCAGAAAATTGTAAAAAATATTTTCATACTACTCACTAAACATGATAACAAAACACAATACAATTATTTATTTACCAGTGACTGAACAGGTATGTGACTCATATTGATTAACTAATTCACATAACTCAGTAAAAATTTTATATTTAACTATTGTCATTGTCTAAAATATCTGCAAAGCGACACCAGTAATAAAACTACATAAAACAATACGCTATTACCAACTATCAAATGGTTATTAACTAAGCCTGCAACTATAAACCATGTTGAAAATAAACACGGCCAAAATGGCCAACCAGACCATGGTCAAACTTGTCGAGTGTCCCATATGTATAGACGTCTATACGGATCCCGTGATTACAGAGTGTGGCCATACTTTTTGCCACAACTGTATCTCCCAATGGTTGGCCACTAACCCCGTGTGCGCCCAATGCAAGCGCTATATAGACGCGAGTAACCTGGTAACTAATTACAATACAAAGTCCATAATTGAGACAGGTCTCGAGTTTCGGTGCGACTATGACTGGAATGGGTGTCGGGAGGTGTTGAAGTTGGATGAGGTGCAGGGTCATCTCAGGAAATGTAGGTTTAAGTATTGCCGTAAGTGTAGCATAAATGTTGGCCGAGACTGTGATGAGCATATGTGTGAGAGTCAGTCAAAACCGATGGTTAAAATAAAGTGAGTAAATTAAAAAAATTGTTATATAATTTTAAAATGTTAATTAACATATGTAGTGATAATTACAATTGTACTGGTCAGAATAAGTGGCAGAGTCAGTCAAAAGCTGGCATCTTAAATAATAAGTAAGTTTGTTTTAATCAATATTTTTAAATAAGTTACGTAGTTTAAATTATTTTTATTTGTTTAACAATCACTGATAAATGTGACAATAAATGAAAATAAGCATTATGTCATAATTATAATATAATTAATAATTTTTTTATTTACTTAGTTTATCTAATTAAAAATTTATTTATATTTGTATAATGCGATAATATAATTGATTAATTAAATAACTAGATTACTATTTTTAATTGTTATAGATCAGAGACTAACGGCGCTCGTAGGCACATACCTCGACGGTGTAGCTACTGGCCTACCTGTCGTAAGGGTGACCAGTGTAACTTTCATCACCCGGATGAGTATTGTATGAACTACGCCAAGTTCGGGAACTGTCGTTTCGGGAAAGACTGCAAACGTATTCATCCGATTTGTGAGTCGGGCCTAAAGTGCCCCAAACGGGACTGCGTTTTGACTCACGCCGAGGGAACGGTAGCCCAAAAGATTGCTGAGGACCTTGGGGTCCAGAAAGTAAAGGCTATTAATGAGCCCAAAAGCAATAGACGTCCAAACAATAGGATTCATACGAAAAGTACTGCAATTCAGCCCAAAGTATACTATATGTTATGTAATATTATGTTATATTACATAATTATTTAACCTAGGTCGAAGCCATAACCACCAGTACCGTAGCGAGTGTAGCCGGGTCAAGTGATACGGTAGGACCTAGTGTGATAGTCACGCCAAATCGTGACTATCGTCGCAATCGTGACTATCGTCGCAATCGTGACTATCGTATGTTGCAACTGGCGTTGGAAATGGGTTTACGGAACTCTGAATGGGAACGGGAGGGTAAACCTCACTCAACCGTCAGAGGGCGCACAATCAACGGTTCGCAATGTGCCGGCGCCTACCGCTGCCGATTTCGATAGGCTCGATAGATTACCGTATTTCCTGTAATACTGGGTCATATTCAGTGATTTTTGCGTTCCCGAAATCGCATGTAATGACATCCCATAGTATTACACCCCCTCTCTGAAACCGAAATATTAGACATGCATGCAATCATATCTCAATATCAGCTATATAAAAGTTAATTCACTTAAAATTGAGTTTAACATTGCATTTTAATTAGATAATTGATTAGTATCTTAGAATTTAAATCTAATTTTAGGTATTATAGATTTTCACTCATGTGCTCAGTTGACTACCAAGAATATTTTATGGGATGTTTACTAACAATTAATTTAGTTATCGCCCCAATTGAATGATATAAGATAAATTCAAATTAAAAATGTTCAATTTAAATCAAAACAAATACATACATTTTCTAGCAATTCCTTTATAAGTTCAATACTAATCCATTTGATAATTCATAGAAATGATGGTTTACGAAGAATTTGGCGTTGCAAACCGGGTATGGGTTTGGGTTTTATTTTTAGCAATGTTAAATTTTTATTTGTTTATTTTTTTGATATTTTTTACCCTGTTGAATTTCATATTACAGGATTCCTATTACCCTAGAGTCCGAGTCATCAGTAACAGTCAGTCGTCTAACCCCTCAGCACTGGGATCGCAAGTAAATAAAACAATTTTTTGAATTAATTAAGTGTTATTAAATGATCAATGTATATATTTTTTCTCGGTCAGGCCACTCATGATGTCCCAACCAATGATCCGGCTAAGTTAAAGTGCGCCTACTCACGATATGGCTGTCCAAGAACGTTAAACGGAAATAGTTTAAACGATATGGATATACTTTATGACCATGTTAAGATCTGCCAATATAATCCGGCAAAAAACAGACAAATTGTCGGTACGTCATATCTGCGAGCCCAACCTGTCCGGGACTCGAACCCACGTTCACCTATTTGGGACCTAGAGATGGTATCGTGTGGTTACTCGTGGAATGGCTGTAATGAACGGTTGTTCAGGGATGAGAAGGTTAGGCATATGGACAGTTGCTTATATAAGCCCACATATTATGCTAATGTCATCAGTAGTGCAACAGTAAAGCCTAAGAAAACTGATAACAATTGTGTATTGAGTTAAATAGTAGCATGATAATTAATTACTACAGGTTTAATTATATTATGCTACAGATGTTGATATACAGTGCCAATGCAAAACAATTGTATGAAACTACCTTTGTTAAACCAAAACATTATTACTTTTCTATTATATATTTATACAAATAAATATTAATCAAATATTATATATCAAATGTTTTCATTTTTATAAAATTAAAAATTAATAAAATATTTGAGAAATATTGATAATACTGAATTTTATTATTCGTTGCTTATAATTATAAATCATATAATCAAATGTTTACTATTTATTAATTATCACGACTTATTGATTGTAATATTTACTAAATAATGGGCATAGTTTTTAAACTAGGTTTAATTTTGCTCTATACGGTGTTCACAAAGTATATATTTAAATTATATTATATTTAAAAAGTTATATTTTATCTCACATTAAATGACATTTTTGTTATTTTATTTTTAATTTAATTTATTATTTATTTTAGTAATTAAAACCTTTGAAAACTTTTGATAACTTTTAGAGTAGACAGTTTACTGTAGCCCCCTCATACAAATAGGCCCTTTCCCTAGGAAATAAATTAAAAATTAAATAATTTAACTCAAAAATTGTAAACAAGTCACATATTAGTCCCTCTATGAATAAAACAATCAAATATAATTTTAATGATTAATAATTTCACTTATATTACTGTACGATAATAATTAATTAGAGACTAATAACGTAAGTTCCGATGTCAAACATTTATTTTCACCAAAATAGTTATGAAGGATTTGTATTGTGTTTTTGTTGTATGTTAATAAATTAAAAATAATGTACTTGTCCATTCAGTATTGAATATACATCATATTATTTATATATAATTTACACAGCTAACTATAATTTTATATTCAACTGCTGTCAAAATCTATTAAAGGAAATATGCAAAACTCATATTGATTCACGTATCGCAACATGTCATAACAATATACATCATATTATTTATATATAATTTACACAGCTAACTATAATTTTATATTCAACTGCTGTCAAAATCTATTAAAGGAAATATGCAAAACTCATATTGATTCACGTATCGCAACACTACTAATTTAAAAGTTGTTATATTATAATCAACTGATTATTAAATAATCCCGATACTCGGATAATGTCGAAAATAAATACGGCCAAAATTGTCAACCAGACCATGGTCAAACAGGTGGAGTGTGCCGTATGTATGGAGGTATATACCGATCCTGTAGTTACAGACTGTGGCCACACCTTTTGCCGCTACTGTATTACCCAATGGTTGGCCACTAGCCCGGTGTGCCCTCAATGTCGGAAAGCACTCAATACTAGGAAACTGGTTGCTAATCTTACTGTAAAGTCGATAATTGAGACAGGTCTCGAGTTTAGGTGTGATTATGACTGGAATGGGTGCGAGGAGTTGCTGTCTCTGGATCAGCTACCCGGCCATCATAGGGAGTGTAGGTTTAAGTACTGCGGTAAGTGTAGCGCTAATGTGAGCCGTACTGCCGGTGACCACAAGTGTGAGGGTCTAACGAAACCGACGGTGAATACTAAGTAAGTGTACTGTAATTATAATTTAATATGTGCTAGGATGTTTTTGTAATGATAAAATACTTTAATTTAAAATTAATTTTATTTGACCACAAGTGTGAGGGTCTAACGAAACCGACGGTGAATACTAAGTAAGTGTACTGTAATTATAATTTAATATGTGCTAGGATGTTTTTGTAATGATAAAATACTTTAATTTAAAATTAATTTTATAACCAAAATTTAGTGCCAATTCGGAACGCACTGGTCAGCATGCTAAGGGACAGGGTCAGTTAAAAGCGGTAGACAAATATAATAAGTATGTTAAGTTGTAATAATATTACGTATGTATATATGCGTAGTTTTTAAAATTATAAAATTTGTATTAAATTATTTACTTGCTCAATCATCACTGATAAGTTTGTTTTAAGTATTAATATAAGGATTATGTCATATTTTCTAACAAATAGCAATTATTTAATCTATTTAACTAGATGTTATCTAATTAAAAATATTTTTATACTTGGTGTATAGTTATATAAGATTACTAACTAGCTTTTTAATTCATATAGATCAGAGACTACCGGTGCTCCTAAACAAAAACTGCGAAGGTGCGGATTTTGGCCTACGTGTGTCAAGGGTGACCAGTGTACTTTTCATCACCCTAATAAAAGGTGTTTTGCATTTCCAAAGTGCCGTTTCGGTAGGGATTGCTTATATATTCACCCCATTTGTGAGTCGGGCATAAAGTGCACAAAACTAAACTGTGTGTTGACGCACGCCAAGGGAACGGTAGTTCAAAAAATCATTAAGGACCTGGAGGTTCACAAAGCAAACCCTATTAATAAACGCAGAGATAATAGGCGTCCAAACAATAGGATTCATACGAAAAGTACTGCAATTCAGCCAAAAGTATGCTATATTTTATGCAATATTATGGTGTATTAAAAAATTACGGTATTTAACCTAGGTCAAAACCATATCTACCAGTACCGTAGCGAGTGGTACAGTAGGGACTATTGTGACATCCAGACCAAGTCTGGTTCACAGCAATGCTAATGATAGCGATAAAAATTGTGTGTTGAGTTAAATCATTTATAAACCTATTAATAATTGTACTGGCTTACATGAATTTATGCTGACATCACCTTAAATGTGATTAAAATACACACTATTAATGCACATCTAATTGGTTAAACTATTTTGTCTAAGCCAATGATTATTTGTTTTACAGTTAGATGATCGTGATAAATTGATAATTTGAATACATAATTATATGTAATTTTTCTATTTTTATACAGAATTTAATTAAAATAAAATTTTTGAAATTATAAACTGCATATTGAATCAACCAATCATTTCATTTGATAATAAATCATATAATCAAATGTTTACTATTTATTTGCTATCAATAACTACTGATTACAATATTTACCACATAATGGACTTAGTTATTAAAATTTTGATTTAGCTAATCAAGGTCATTGACAATAAATCATAAAATTTTATTTATCAAACAGAACTTTGTTATTAAATATAAATGTCTATTTAATTTCATTTCCCAAATTATTAAAATTAACAATTTTTAGAAAACTGTTAACTAGTATTAAATAATTTAAAAATGAAATATTTATTAATCGTATTCATAGTGAACGTGTGTTTATTGTATGAATGTAGTGCCGATTGGCAAGAGATTAAGGATACCCTAGGTCAGGGGATTAGAATTATTAAGGGTACGGTATGTCTGACCAGGATAACAAATAAACTGAAAACGGATTGTTTGGCAACATTTCATGAGTCCATTAGTGGTAAAAACATTGAGGGTGAAGATTATGGTGTAAGTATAATTAAATTTAAATTCGTTTATATATATGAACTAGCTATGTTTAATAATAACTTAATGTTAAAATAATATTTATTTTATAAATATTTTAAAATACTGCTTATAAATTAATAAAAATAAAATAAAATATCTATATAAAATATATACCTAACTAGAGTTTAAAAAAATACAGTAAACTAAATAAATTATAATTTTATTTATTGTAGAGGTCATTTGTAATAAAAATTATTAATAATACGTTTTGAATATATTCGTATCATTTCATATTATTAACTAGTTAAAATAAAATAATTTAAAAATTGTTGACTTAATTAATAAAACTGTTTATCACCGGCAGGTCATGTGCTGCTCCTACCGGACACTGCAGTCGTGCGTATCGGGTATATCGGAGTCCGAGTGCGGATCGGAGGCCCAAAATGTTGCGCACAGTTTCCTACACACAATCGGCCAGACCTTTGAGGCCGACGACTGTTTCGACTACGGGTTCATCACATGTAATATGTGGCTATCGATAGGGGTGGCTGTCGGGACACTGGTAGGTGTGGTGGTGGTGACGGTTTGGATATGGGTCTGGTGCCGAGTCCGGAAGTTCAGAGCTAACAACCTTAGTAATAGTAATGGTAGACATAAAGTGCACAGGGTTGTTTACCTAAATGAGATTAAGTCGAACTAGTTCTAAATTTTTAAATATTATATGTTATTATTATATTAAATCCTATTTTATTAACTTTTGTGTATCTATAATAATATTTACGATATACTAATGTAATCCTATTTATCTATTCCAAATAACGGAATATAATAATATTATTTGTTTGATATTAACTTAATAAATATTTTTGTGTTATTATAATAATTAAAGTACTTGTTATTAGCGTTCCCAAATCGAAAAATCTAATTCCATGATAATCCTTATTTTTGTCTTAAAAACGATCTTAATTTCCATGAACTTTTAAAAAGTGGTCATAAAGTTCCTTGAGGTCCATTGAAATGGTTATATTTTTGAAAATATTTCCTTGAGCATTTGACCGATTCCTTGAGAGTCCTGCTTGAACCTTGAGATTTGGGAACCCTACTTGTTATTCATTATTTATTTCAGAATTAAATGTCTAGTAGTGTAGTGTTCTGTATTAAATAGTCTAAACATAATTATTGCTTATAATTTATTCAGAATACTTACAGTCAAAACAAAATATTCTATTGAGCTTGTTGAATTTATTTAAGCAAAATAGTTATTTGTTGCTAAAAATATATAAATAGTAATTTTAGTAACTATGTTTATATTTTAATACCTATTAAAACTTGGAAAATTTTAATTATTTTTAAAATAATCTAATATAATATATTATTTATTTATAACACGTCTGTATTGGAAATGAGCTTATGTTGTATGCATTACGTGTCTAAATAAATTCAATTCAATTATAAAGAGTTTAGATTTACTCTAAACTAATGTGTTAATTGTAATTGTATTTTAACATAAATTATTCATTATTCACAATAACTCACGTCTTACTGAAACATTTTATTTGTTAAATTATTAAATAGTTGTACATATTTTGGATAATTTATATTCTCAAACTTAAGGCGGTGGAGCAAAAAACTGAAATACATAACCGACCAGTGTATATTATCGTAGGGTATGATAGATTATGTTTGGTTAATATAAGATATACCTATTTCACTAAACAAATTCAAAATATGTCCACTGGTCAGTTAGTTATATGAGTTTAGCCCTTTTTACCTCTAGGCCATTTGGGTCATCTAGCACAAATTTTAATATTTTATCAACAATTAAAACAATTGCACATTAATTTAGAGATTGATTTTTTATTTTTATAATATTATACAGTATATTTCTTTTAAACTTATTATAGTAAAGTTAACAATATAAATTAAAATATACCTTGCGCCATAATAAGTGCGGATACAATCAGTAATAATATCATAATTTTGATGATCATGTTTAGCTGTATTTTTGAAATTATTTTATTTAAGAATTATTTTTTGTTTAATTGAATGGAATGGACAGCAAATATGTGTTTGTAATTGAAATTTCAAAATTAATTTAATATGATTTTATTATTGGAAATTATTGATAATTATTAGTTTCTGGATATATAAAGTATGCCAATTTATTATTATATATTTTTCCAATCAAACCAATTTTTAAACAATATGAACAAGTTATAATCACACTAATCTCTTAGGTTTATGGCTCACCATTATGATTCAAAAAAAATGTCGTAGTGCCAATTATAGGTAACATAACGAAACAATTCAAATATTTATGCAAATTATTAAATTGAATTCAAATATAACTCGTTTTAAAAATCATACAAATTATTCCTTATATAAACAGGCAGATATTATAATTGAGATTAAAACACAATACTACTGTTTAAAACATATTATTTTTATGAATTATTGAATGGATTTAATATAACATGAACTCTATTATCAGGAATGAGTCGATGGTATTGAATGTAAACCCAAACCCAGAATCGACTCTCAATTATCCAAATAAGAAAGTCTTTGCCATTTGTGCCAAACCATAGACTAAACAATCCTCCGATATATGACATATAGTCCGTCAAAGACAACACCGGATCCTCCCGATAGACAAACACCGGTTGACTGGAGTCCAAAATCACAGACCGTTCTCCTAATGTGTTGTTAAGACCAGAGTTATGCCACAATTCGTTACCAATTTGTGTATCGCTTGATATGACTCTCGAGTTGTACTCAACTGTCAGACAGTCTTTCGGACAATAATTAACACATTTTTGTTTAATACTATTTATGCTTAAATTTTCATAATTATTGCCATAATAACAATACGTATCGATTATATCATATCTATCGACATCTAACTTATGTAAATAACTGTCAATAAAAAGTGGATAACATTTGTTCCGTTGGTTCCAATAATATCCGACACAACGTCGTAAGCAATGGGAATGGGATGTCGACTGAAATGGTGTCTTGCTATCACTCTCCGTATAATAAATACACTTTCCGTGAGGTGACGCTAAACTCGTTTTAACTTGCTTACTTAATATTATCGTCTGATTTATGCCGTTAACCCACTTACTTGACCCAGTTATATCCATGGTAATTATATTTGGTATAATCTGAGAATGGAATATAATGTCCGATAATTTTATTTGATCAACGTGGAATTTAATGTTCATCAATTCATAAACATTAGCATGGTCACGTTTATTTATAAACGTATTGTTCCAATATATCGTACGATGGGGGTATAGCAATTCATAACTATTTAAATAAAAACTGTCCATGTGTTTAAATTTAGTAATGGGATAGAGAACCGTATTTGCATCTATGTAATATTTAGAGAAATTAATATTATTAAATACTTCGTGGAAGCGCATTTCCAGTAAATTGTTCATGGTCGAATTAATCAGGCATGTACTTAAAGTTCTCTTGTCACATTTAATATTGTGTATATAGAAAGGAAAAAACGCAAACGTAACGAATGGGTAGTTATCATCGGTTTCGTAAGTTTTGGTGTCGAATGAAATAATTGTTTGGAAACTAAAGTACTTCACAGATATGTCGTACAACTGATGGATAAGTATTAGTGTTAATAAAAAGGTGACCATTCGCTACACAATAAGAAAATATTAAATATGTTAATAATTATAAATGTTTAAGACTGACCTTTATAACTTTTTGATAACTAGATGAGTTAGAATAACGTTTGAAATTCATTTTGAGTGTTAATATCATTTGATTATATTTAGCGTATTGTTCGCTGAATGCAATGAAATCCTGGAGTAAACCAATGAAACTGATTCCGTGCCATAGACTCAATATGTTGGCTATACTTATCACGAGCCCTATGAATGAGGTTTTTGCAGAATATTTGATTATTATATAGAAATAATTATTTAACATAAAATAGTAATCCTGGTAATAACTTAAACCTCCATAATCATTTACATCAATTATATGATATAAAAATAAATCTTCATTGCACTGTACAGGGCACTTATTTTTACAAACTCTATAAATATCATTGTTTATATCATTATATTTGTTTGTATAATAATCGAAACAAAATGTAACATTTGGTTCAATATATCCATCATTCAATTGAATGGTTAATAGACTGTTGTATTTGGGAATACATTTGAATCGCATCTCGTATTCATTTCGATAGCATTTGTTTAGACAATGAAATTGTGTTTCGTTTCCCCAATACTCGTAACACTGAGTGTCGTATGGTTTTGGCAGTCGTTTCAATGAATAGCGAATTATTTTCGTCACTTTCCTCTCAAATTTAGGATTATCTCTGAATTCGATGACATTATCAGTCATTACTGGCAATGAATTCTGTGAATGCATTATAAACCTCTTTATTAAACATGAATTTCTTCTCGCTGTCGTTGATTTTATGTGAGCTAATACTTCATTGAAATATATATAAGCATTGAACCTTTGTCCCAATGTTTTTGAACCCCATAAAAATGTATTACAAATGCCATGCGGTGTTATGAGTTTTAGACTTGGTGTTATTTGATTGCTGTCCTTTCTACATGTAATATAGTCTGAATAAATACCAAGGTCATAGTTAGACGAATTGATAAAATTTTCTTTAAATTGAATAATATGTTGCTTAAAGTCATCAAGGGAGGTGACATTAAAATATGTATTATAAAATGGTTTGTATTTCTTATATCTGTACTTGTGATGTTCGGTATTGACACAGTAGTCATAAATGAAATCATTATATTTAGTCACCTTATCATTGTAAAACATTTTATCAATTTGCCGCATATCATCAACATTATCCAATTGGTGTCTAATATAGGGATCAAACAAAATGTCTTCAAAAGTGTTTTCATAGCATAAAGTGATGGCCGGAAGTGATTGCAGAGAAATGCTGTCATTATTGGGATCTTTGTATTCAATGAAGGAAATGGAGGTTTGGGTCGAGTATTGCAGGTATTCGTGGATTAAGACATAGATTTGGAAACATATTATAGGAGATGTGATTAATTCTATGATTCGTTTCCATTTCAAAGTCATAAGTTTGTCAAGTACAATTTTAATATGTTTTATGTGTTTGGCGAATTTTCTCTTTAAATTTATTGTAACATAAACTTCAAGAAAATATTTTGCTTTTAATAATATTTGTCTAATGAGAGCACTGGTATCTATGAATGATATCCCAAACCACAAACCAATGAGTCCTCCAATGTTTGACATGAAGCCTACGAATGAATACTTTTTGTCTGAATTGTAGTGAAATTCTTGACTTCTTTTGAATTCAATCCTAATTTTGCTGTCGTTTTGTGCGGAATATGTGTTGTCCTCCAAATCCAATGAATAGTACTTTTGGTCACAATTTTTAACACAATTTTCTTTGCAATACATTTTAATAACAGAATATTCCGTATAATTAGTGTTCATATTGTGATCACATATTCTATACTGTGTTTGACTCGCATTCGTAAGAATAAACTCTTCATTGATGTAAGGATTGGGTAAACATTCAAATGATTTGTTGTATTGTTTTTCAATACAATTCGT